GCAGCTCGTGGAGGAAAGCCAGTGTGCACCAGGTTAGAGGAGCTGGAAAAACTGGCCCAGGCTGAGCTCTGTGTGGGGAGCGCCTTGCTGTCAGCCTAGTCACTAAATCCAGCCCAGGTACCCTCACCCTTCAGAGCAAGTGAAGAGATTATTATAACTTCAGCTAATTCCCCATATTTATTACCAAGCCTACACAGAAGCCCCATCCCCCTTGTTCTCTGTCACAGCATTGACAAACACTTTTTGTGACTCTTATCTTCTCTCCGCCAGCCTTCGCTCCCTGGCGGTTTTTTTGTGGCCAGCTCCACCCTTTTCCACTGAGGGCACTGGCTGTTTGTATCTAAACTTCAGTCTTGAAAGAGCCTGTTAGAAGCCGTGCTGTTTCAGTGAAGGTTTTCCTCTCACGGGCAGCTGTGTTTACAGCACAGGAACCAAAATTAACATCTCTTCACTCCCGAGGACAAAATACCAGTTAAGTTATGAAACTTTTCTTCAGTGGTGGAGATTTGGCTTAGAGACTCTTGTGGGTATGTTTAGATGCCCTTTTTAAAAATGGATTTAAGATATTAGAAATTCTGATGAAAACGGGCAAAAGTGAAAATGGTTGAATGGTTTTTTGTCGCTTTTAGTCTAACAGCAGTGCTGCTGTGAAAGGTAGGGACCTCACATACCTTTTTAGCTACTTTCCTGTAGAATGATGTGAGACTGTTTAGTCATTACTGTTATTAGTCCTAATGTGAGCATGTGCTTTCCCCTCTTAAAGGTTTGCAGTGGTGTGCAGTATTTGTAGATGACTTGTATACCATTATTATTTGCTTATTATTTTATTTCTGCTTTTGATTGGATACATGTAGAAATCAGTGGTCAACAAAAAAGAAACAGCATAGATAGTCAAAATACTTATAAGCCTGTGTATTTCTTAACATCCTTAGAGAGCTGCCTAGCGAGATGAAGAGACTAATATCAAGTTTTTTAGTAATATCATTATTCTGCGCTATGTATGTGTGTATCCATGTAAAATAGGTTATTCTAGCAAGTTGATTATTCTAGTTCTTCCTGCATATATTGACTGAAAAATACTAGTTGTCAACTGGTACATGCAAATGTTGCTTTGATTCTTAAAAGCCCAAATTTACACTGTCAGCTCACGGTTAGACTGTACTTCTGAAAGAAAATGGAAGTAAATGAGTCAGAACTGAGCTTGTTAACTTCACTCTTGACTTTCTGAGAACTTTTGCAGATCTAAGTTGAAAGATTTTCCCATCTAAACTGCCTCTGTCTATGATGTGTATTTGGAAGATGATTGCAAATAGTTCTGGAGAAGTAATTTTATGATATTAGAAAGACCTTGACCTAATCATCCTCCTAATGACTCCGTCAAGAAAAGCTCTGTCTGTTCTGCAGGCTGTGCAGTACCATGTAAGGCTGTCTAAGCTGGTGTAAAAAAAGCTGACTACAGTTTTGGAAATAGTGGAATTCTGGAAATAGTTTTAGGAACAGGCTGAGCTGTCCCATTCATTTTTACTGGTCAGTTGTGGGAAAATTCATGTTTCAGAGCAAGGTGGTGGAGTGGCACTCAGAAGGTGGATGGGGTGGAAGCAGAGCAGCAGCCTGCATTCTACCAAGGTCAGGCTACTCACTTGGGTGTCTAAAGTAAAAGCCCTACTCAGCATCCTCCTGGTTGTCACCTTGTCTGAAATGTCACTGTACCTCCTTCACAGTAGCTGTCATGGGCCCAGTTCTCATACCACGGGATATTTCCTATCAGACCTTCAGTCTGATGCTTGAAGTGCTGTTTCAGCACAAACAAGGGGGACACAGGTGCTTGGCTGGGCAGGTGAGGTCCCTGAAGACAGGAGGATGCTTGTGCAAACAGGAAATGATTCCCAGCTGTGGAGGGATGGGTTAGCCAGGCCACATCCTTGCTGTGTGCAGGTGTCCGAGTCCAGCTGTGTTGGCAGGACCATGGGCAGCCAAGAAGTGCAGTGCTGCTCACTTTGGGATTTGTACCCTACTGTAAAAAGTCACTGCTCTTAGTGTCTCATGTCTGAAGTTGTCATGGTTTCAAGCAAACAAACAAACAAAACAATGCACATGTACCCAAAGAGCCTACTAAATCCCTGAAACTTTCTAATGATTGAGCAATGCTGAGCATACAGCTGAATAACATCATTTTTCATTCATCTGACAGTACAGTTTTTCCTTTGTCAGCATTTTCTTGTCAAATACTACATCTGAAATTACCTCTCTGCTTGAGAAATATCTGCTTTGTGCCAGAGCAGCACGTTTGTCATCTCTTTGGAAGCCATCCTCTCCAGTATGACTTACTTATATGACTTTTGCTTGATCACTTGTGGGCAGTGTAATGCCACACATATATAAATATATTACAATCTCATGAATTAAAACAAAACCAAACCACTTGGTCTGTAGGCTCGAGTTAGGTTTTAGAAGCAGGCTCCTGCTGCTCTGGTCAGATCCCAGAATCAGAGCCCTGCAAGCTAGTGGTTTTACAGAAATCAGTCTTGTATAGTGAAATAAATATCCAATAAATATCACTCATTTAATGGCTCTTATTAAAGGTAAATTGTTGACCACAAGAAGGTGGTGCCCTTCATAGGAGCCCACTGGGATATCAAAAATGGAAGAAAGTTGTGTTAGCACATTGGGGTGGTTACCTAAGGGTATACAGTTCTAAGTTTCAGAGGTCTGTAGCAGTGAATGAAATGTAGTGAAATATTCATAGATATCCATGTGGCAGGCTGAAGCTGCTAGAAAACATCATTATGCACTGGCATGTGGATAAATTGCATACCTGATTTTATGCATGTCATCCATATTCTCACCTGCTTTACAGCTCATTCCAAACCTTCACATTTGCTACTTTCCTGGCTCTTACCTATGTTCTCTTATTTCTAAAACTTTTTAAGGGAAGCTACTTGTTTGGTTTAACAAAGCTGTTGATACAACACTAAATCCTCATTTCTAGTAGTTTCAGCAAATGTGTAACATACTGCTGCTAGCATTAAGGTGCAAAATTAAGCTCAGAAGAAGGAAAATAACATCACCAAAAATCAGAAGAATTAAAAATACAATATGCAAGAAACTAAAACATCTTTCTGTCAAAAATTTCTCAAAATATATTACATTTCCTTTTTTTTCTGCTATGTAAGTAACATTATTTGTACAGGTTAAAAAAACCTCCAGAAGTCTGAATACGACTAATAAGAGGTTATTATTAATGTTTTTGCAGATCTTTTTTATACTCCTTGTTGAATTGAAGGAGGAATAATTTAATATGATGCAGAGAGCTGGGCACCCTGGTCCAGTACTCTGGTACCCTTGATCTAGAGTTCTTCCTCATGTTGAACTGGAACTTTGCACTTTTCATTTTATGGCCATTGCTCTCTGTCCTCCACTTCTTTTCTCCCAGTTAGGTTTCTTTCCTCTTTCGAGTCTGTGTTTTTCTTTCCTTTTCTTCCTCTGCTCCTTTCTCCTGCTGCATAGACCTTACCAACAGCAGCCACAAAAGAGAAAAATCTGACTTTGCCTGTGCATTTTCAGGTTGGTGAGAGGTCCTTCAGCTGTTTGGGGCATGCCACATGAATGTTCTGGTCTACACTGAGAGATCTGTGCCACAGATCCACTCAGAGTCAGTCAGTGGGAATTTTTAAAGGACTTATGGAAATATGGCAAGTCTCAGGTATGGACATGATCCTGACAAAATTATTCTGAGGAGTGCACAGATATCTGAAAAGTTGGTAATAGTAGTCATGGAAACGCAACTGTCCAGCTGAGGAGGCTGTATCAAGTAGAGTCTTGAGGATGTCTTTGTGGGGTTCAGTAGCACTCTCTCTTACTAATCAAAACCTGTTGGTGAACAGGGGTTGGTGGATTTTGCCCAACAGATTGGGTGTTTTGAAGGACTGATTTAAAATTCAGTGAAGAAATTACATTTGTCATATAGAACTGTTTTATTTCTTTAATTGAGAGCAAGTTTCCAAGGAAGGTAAACTGAAAGGAGCAATTACTTACAGGGAATAATCTGGAGTTATAATAGGAGCTAGCTGCGTGGTAAAGATACCAAATGTTTTTTTTGGAAGGAACCGGGAGGAATGTTCACAATCCACCTCAGCTCGTGTTGTGTGCAGCTTTGGGCACTGCAAGTTTGGGGAAAAGCTGCAAGATGCTGCCAAGAAGTAATGAGAGGGCTAGGAAATGTAACCTATAAGTTTGAAGGAACAGAATTTATTTAGTCTAGGAATGTCAGGGCTGCAGTGGTCCTAGGACAGGGGTTTGTTGTGGATAGGGAATAATCTGTTTATCACCTCAAAGGAACAGGCTTTGTCCACAGTGCATCATATATTAAATTTGATACTATGAAAACTTTTTCATTATCTATTCTGCAAGAGTTTATCTCTGGGGCTTGTAGTCACTTTATTCAGAAAAAGAAGGAAGGGTTTTTCCCTTTGGGGAAGGAAAAAGAGAGAAGAGATAGCATTTCCGTCCAGTTTTTGCATGTCTGTGATATTACTTGAGCATGGATGAGCTCCAGTGTTTCAGTTGTTTATAACTTTATCAAAATTGAATGGGTTTTCAGAGGGATTACATTATAAAAAAATATCCAGCACAGAAAGGAAGACATTCTGATTGAATTTCAAGTATCTCTTCCAAAATATGGTCAACATTTTAATCACTGATAAAAATAGGTTTAATAATTTTTTTAAAACTACATTTTATCTTGTTGTTTTATCTTGTTACTGGGAAATAGTAAATCCTCTGTGACCAAACTCCTCCTTTCTGCCTCCCAAATTGCCAGTGCCTACCATACAAAGTTTGGGTTGGATGATTAAGTCTGGCAAAGTTAAAACTGCTAAAAACAAAGTCTACGGGGAAGTTTCATGTAACATTAATAAGAGGCAAAACTACCAGCCCCACCTATAATAGAAATAAGATTATCAAGGCTAGGTTTCCTTGATGATTCTCAAATGTTTCTACAGGCTTTTAGAGAAGATCTGGAATGCCTTATTCAAGAACAGATGAAGAAGGGCAATAACCCCACTGGACTGCTTGCATTACAGCAGATTGCTGAATACATTACAGCGAGCACTTTTACAGGTTTTTCCTCATCTTCACTCAGTAAGTGAATTATACATAAACTGCCTTTTTTTTTTTTTTTTTTTTTTTTTTTTTTCCTTCCTTCCAATTGTTATCAGGGCTTAAGAATGCTGGGATCTCCTCTTTCCTTGAATAAAAATTCTGTCAGAGCTTGCTTCAGCTGTGAAGTAGTGCAGATGGTGGCCTTAGCTTGCCTTTTTAGGTTTCATTCTCTCAAATTCTTTGACTTGTATAATGATATCCAAAATGGTTGGGATCCTCAAACTCGATTATTCTATAATTTGTTAAGAGAAGTTGAACTGACATAGGGAACAAAATGTTGTGTTCTGTTACTGCTAGGGGTTTAACATGAATATGAACTGAGATGTGAAATACATTACCATTTAGTTGTTACTAAAAAAACCCAATGACTCTGAGGTGGGGAGAATCCCCTGGCAAACTGAGTTATCAGATAAACATCTCCCACAGTTAAGAACAGCTTCTAGTCTGCACTCTACTTGTAAAGATGTCACTGGGATCTCGCAGTTAACACCCAAGTTCTTTCCAAGTCATGAAGCACTGAGACGTTCAAGTCAATTTAAGTTCTGTGGGTGGACTTCATATGGGAACTTACAAGCCTGAAGTACAGTGGCAGCTGTCAGCATTCATCATCTTTGGAGATTTGGTCCCAAAATGGTACTTCAGGGTTTATTTAACAAAACAAGTGGAAGAGAACAGAGAGCCCAAATAACCTCGTGTTCGCATCTCTGGTTGGCTACTGAGACTCTGCATCCCACTGTTATCTCTGCTGTGTTTGCCAGGGACAGTGGGGACAGATCTCAAAGTGCACACTCCTTTTGTTGAAAACCAAAATGACTTTTACCTCTTTTGGTCTTAACTTTCCCTCTAAGCAAAGGTTGTGGGTTGTCAAAAGGCTGTCATGCATTCATGAAGGGGAAAGGGGTATGTTTGTGTAGTCACAAGTCAAAGACAGAAATTGATCTTTCTGATTTCTCTGTTAAGAGGTGATACCTTCTGTCTAAGGGTTTGAGAACTCTTTCACTAATTCTAATTTTTTCATTAGAGCTGAATTGAAGTGCTAAGACTGAGATATCTCTTCAAATTAGTTTTGCTGGTGTCAGAAGTCTGCAAGGAATATCTTCTCCTGTAACAAAAAAATCCCTCAAAGTAACATTTAAAAATACTTCCTTGGTGACAAATGTCTTGGACCACAGTTCCAGTCCTATGTAGGATATTGATTCAGGAGACAGCTCAGGAAAACCTCTATTCTGTCTCATAAATGCTAGTATTGCTTTGCTAACCATTTAAATACACTGCACCTGGAAGATCATGGCATAGCTGGAAATATATTTAATTGTCCAACTGATCATCATCTATTTTTGTCTGTTTTTCAGGCCATGGAATGATTACACCCATCAATGACCTACCTGGGGTAGATACCTCCTCGTTTGTTAAGGGAGAAAAACTTACTCGTTGCAAGTTAGCCAGTTTATACAGATTGGCTGACTTGTTTGGGTGGGCACATTTGCCAAATACCTATATCACAGTAAGTATTTTAGAGAAAAAAAAACTTAGAATCTCACCTATTAATTCAAATTATTTTTCCCCCTGATTAATGTAAATTAGATCAGTAATCCATTTCCTGTCTCCTTTGCAGGTAAGAGTAAGCAAAGAACATGACCACATTCTAATTATTCCAAGAGGGCTGTCCTTTTCTGAAGCATCAGCTTCTAATTTGGTATGTGATTCACCTGCTGTAATAACCAGCAAGGCTCATCCTGTTTTCTAAAATACTTTTGTGGCTGCTTCAATGGACTTCTGTAATTATGCTGTTTGGGTTTTTTTAATATTTACCCACAGGATGAAAAGCTGATTAACTGCTTAGATGGTACCAGCCTTTGTTGCCAGTATTTCTTCTTGGGTTTAGTTTTACTTCCTGTTTCTTTGTCTCCAGCTCCCATGTGGAGAAGCAAAGTTCTGTGTTCCTGTTTGATGAAGCTCACCAGTAACCTCAGTGTAGCCTTTTATAACCTGAGAGTGTGGCAATACATGTGAAATGACTCTGTAGGAGTAGTGTTATCAGAATCACCTCTTACCTTTAGAAGTGAGGAGATAAAGTCAAATAATCTTCCCCAGGCCCAGCAAATGAGCTGGGTGAAGTTACAGGCTGGTATTTAGGCAGTGGTAACTGCTAAATCACACATCTTTGGGTGCAGAACCTGCCATATGCTCTTCATGTCAGTGCATATCCATAAAGAAACTTTCTCAAGGTGAAAGGGGTACCAAAATGAGATTGATACTATTACACAGCAAACACAGAACCAAAATACCATGACACATGACCCTGCTGTAGTTTTCTGTTGATCCAGGAATTACTATTGTAGTGTTCCAATGAATCTGAAAATTCCCAGGCTCTGAATTATCTTTGTATTTAAAATATAGGAAATGTTAATGGGATGAATTTTTCAAAGTCAGAAACAAGGAAAGTTCAGCTAGACTGTAGTAAAATATGTGTTGTATAAGGGTCTTATCCTTACTTCTTCCATGGCTGAACTTCCAACAGCTGTCAAGGACTGGTACAGCAGGGTGGTTTATTGACACACACATTCATGGCTGCTCTCCTACTTTTTTGTGCTCTGAGCCTTGAATGCATGGGGGGGAACTTGGTGCTAAATAAGAAAGGAGGGCAATTTTCTAGATGACTGAAGTTGTCACAACCTTTCTGAGTATCATTTGTCCATTTCTTTTTCAGGTTAAGGTGAACATCCTAGGAGATGTGGTGGACCAGGGAAGCACATCTCTCAGTATTGACAGTGTGGGCTTCAGTCCACACGTGGCCATCTACTCCACCCGCCCCGACGTCAGATGTGTCATACACATCCACACCCCTGCCACAGCTGCTGTAAGGCTTCCTTTGGCACAGACTGAAAGAAAACAGCTTTGCCTTATGAACTTTGGGCATATTTCTCCTCACAGCAGTTTCATTTTTGTTTTAATATCGACCCTACACTGGTAAATTAAAGTGTGAGAGAGGGCTGGGCCCCCACAGTGGATTGGCATCAGACTAAACTGATGCTCAGAGATTATTATACTGAGGTTGAGGAGGTTGTAAAGCAAATAGTTTACAGAGGCATCATTTATAGCATCCTAGATAATATAATATGCTGTATAAATCATCTTCATTTGCATTATGCAGCTTTATTTTTAAGTGGTTTGATTAGTTGTTACACTTAGTTTGGATTTACCTCAGTATTTAAATGTTATAGTTAACATAAACTTTAAATGGTCTGTATAATAATGATAAAAATGTAAGGAGGCCTGAAAGAATTGGTTTAAACTAACTAAATTCTTATTATTTTATCTAGAAATGCATTTTCTAGATAAATAGAAAATTTATCTATTTTTTAAGTAATAAATGTGGGAAAGAAGAATAAACCATTAAGTAAGCTGAGAATTAAACATTAATAAATTTCACACAAATTTTCTCCAATAAATATGTCCCTAGACTGGGTAGCAGCACCTCTCTCACTGTATTGCAAATTAGGCTGGTGGGGGGGTGTTTTTTCTAAGCTCTCCCTGTGGAGTTTGTTTCTCTTCTAACAAAGTACACCCTGCTAATGCTTGGGTGGTTGAGATGTAAGTTTGAAGAGTTCCATTTTTCCCTAGTTACCAGAATTTCATTTTCATGAAACAGGTTTCTTCTATGAAGTGTGGCATCCTTCCCATATCACAAGAGGCTCTGATTCTGGGAGATGTTGCTTATTACAACTACCAGGGATCTCTTGATGAACAGGAAGAGAGGATTCAGCTTCAAAAAGTTCTTGGACCCAGTTGCAAGGTATTCAACCTCATTTATGTTCTTCATAAACAATTTTCATGTCCTGCTCCAGTTTCTACCATTTAACATTAGTGTCTTTATTTACTAGGTATTAGTTTTGAGAAACCATGGTGTGGTAACACTAGGAGAGACACTGGAAGAAGCATTCCACTATATTTTCAATGTGCAACTGGCCTGTGAAACGCAGGTGAGAGAGAATTTATCTGTATTTCATTTCAAACACTTATACTGCAGATTTACAGATTGTACCCCAGATGGAAAGACTTGTTACATCACACAGTTTTGGAGTTGTGGAATCCAGTAATCCTGTATACCTGGTCAAAGAGAGACTGGAGTGATCAGGGAATCACCGAGGGCACAAATACTCACTCTAGGAACACTGACACAGTCTCCGTGGTGTTACACTCTGAAGGGTACAGAAGGTTTTGTTCCATGCTGTGCAGAGTGAGCCTCATGCAGGGAATCTGTCAGCTAATAGATTTACTGCTACTCACTGCATGGGGAAGTGTGACTTAAGATCTCTCTCTCGAGAGCCAGCTCCTTTACTGAAGCTGAATGTTGTGACAAGAAAAGAAGCTTCTCTCTCTGATCACAGATTTGTGAAACCAAATTAAAAGAAGATCTTCAGAGCAATGGTAGTGGGTGGCAAATTTAAAAATAACTTGAGTCACAAATTCAGTAGTTTCCATTCTGTCTAACTTCATCTACCTGGTTAGGTATCCAGATGTTACCTATAACATGTGAACGTATGAACACCTTTCATAAGTTTTAATCCCACCCCCAGAAACTTCATCACTTTGTTGTTCCCCAGTGATCCTGTCCTTCCAAAGAGGCATTTGGATGTGCAAATGGCAGGGTCCCATTCCTTTTCTTCCTTGCCCTACTATTAATTTTGGGTTCAGACACTCTTTCATTTTGAAACAGCGAGAAAAATGAAAGATTTTTAATCTTGTGATGCAGAAAGCTGTTTTTAAGGTACTCTGAAAGGAAGTGTTTGAATCTACTCCTTTTGAAGTGCAATTAATAGCAGATGATAGAATGCTTTCTGTAGCAGTCACTTGCTATGTATTTTAATACATTTTTTGGATAGTAAAAAATTAGCCTGAGAAGTAACCACAACATGTATTTAAGCAACCTCCTGCTGCAAATTCTGAAAAGCAGAGAATACAAAAGCTTTTTCACAAATGAAATACACTCCTTGATGTCTCCAGGTTCATGCATTAGCTGGAGCAGGTGGGATAGACAATCTCCTACTACTGGATCTGCAGAAGTTCAAGCCTTCCACACACGCCGTGGCAGCAATGGGAGGAGGTGGAGTTAATATGGCTTCACAACAAAAATGGAAAGTTGGGGAGCAAGAATTTGAAGCACTCATGAGGATGCTGGACAACCTGGTGAGAGCATGCTGCTGGTATCTATGTAGTCCTGTAAGGTTTTGAGTGTAGGATTAGATTTTGTAAAGCAAATAATTTTTTAGTCATATTATTTCTGACAGGAGTATTCTGTCTTAATAAGAATTTATCATGCTTTGAGCTTCAATTTTGTTCCACCATCTTACAAATGTGTAACAACTTAATAGTAAAAAACCCTTAATTTTAATTTTTTAAAACATTATTTTCTTCCTTTCTTCCTTCACAGGGATACAGAACTGGCTATGCCTATAGGCAACCATTAGTCAGGGAAAAACCCCGACATAAGAGTGATGTTGAGATCCCAGCCACTGTGACTGCCTTTTCCTTTGAAGATGATACAGTCCCTCTTTCCCCCCTGAAATTCCTTGCACAGAGGCAACAGAGAGAGAAGACAAGATGGCTGAACTCTCCAAACACATACTTGAAAGTTAATGTGCCTGAGGAGTCCTGGAACGGGGAAACCAGTCCCAGGACTAAGATCACGGTAGGTTGATATGTTGGACAGTCACTTCGGTTTTGCCATAATTGAAAGTAAGTTATGCACAGTTTATATGAGGAAATCTTGAATAGGATTAGCAAATAAGTTTATTGAGCAAATTAAAATAGGCTTTTCAGAGCCTGAATGACATTGGTACTGAGAGTCTCTTCTCTTTGAGGAGAGAGGGGTTGACTGTAAGAGTAACACTTTATGATAAAATTTAACAATTATTTCACAGTTCTAACCATCTCTTCTTGTTCTTGAAGTAGAAAACAGTTTTTCTACCACTTCTTCTTGTGCTATTAGTTATCCACCAAATATAGTAAGGCTTTAAGTCAACCGTGGGTTGTTCTTTTTTCACATGAGGGAGACATGAGCTCTAATTCGTCTCTTGCTGTCCTCTTTCTATTTGTGAGCCTACTGAAAACAGCTTTCGAAAGGTCTGTTCGTGCTACAGGCTTTTAATGATGATAAAGATTTTCCCCCTCCTGCAGCTCAGCAAGATGCTTACACTTAGTTTCCTGCCTGCAGAGAGGTGGCCCTCGTGGGACTACAGAGTGTGTTATTGCTCCTCAGCTACTCCCAGTACAACTGTAAAAGCATCAGCTCCTCCTGCTGGCAGGCTGGCAGATTTCTAAACTTGAGTTTGGGAAAAACACCCTCAGAACCCTGCTTGAGAAGGGAAGAAACTGTAGTCAGTGTGTGGCCAGCAGAGGTGGAAGCTGGTTGCATGCACAAGGGCTCTGGATATACATGCCAGTTACTAGAAAGTGTGATCCTTTCTAAATTCAGCATCATTAGTACACAGCATTTTTCAGGAATGTATGTCAGTATTTACAAAAAGTAGTCATGTTCAAGACAACTTAAATCTTCTTGGACAAACACACAAACGTGTAAAGGAGTTGGGATTATTTTTTTTAGGTGTCATGTGGAATTTAAAATAAAGTCGGAAAGTCCTTTCTTGATGTCTCTTCTTTAACAGTAAGACAACACAGAGAAAAAAAAAAACTTTGGATTGTTCCTTTCCATCATACTGTGTATTTTAGCTTCTTTTTTTTTTTTTATTCCCCTCTTTAAGTGGATGAAAGCTGATGACTCCTCCAAGACTAGTGGAGGAACGCCAATCAAAATTGAAGATCCAAACCAATTTGTTCCTCTAAACACAAACCCAAGTGAAGTGTTGGAAAAGAGAAATAAGGTAAAATGAACTGAAAATTGTAACATTTCCAAATAAAATTATGTGTTCAAGTAATGATTCAGCAGAGCAGTAAAATAACATTTTCAAATGTTTTGATTTTATTAAGAGGGTTCTTATACTATATGTAATTTTTGGCACCAAAAACATGTATTTAAATGTGTGATATACATAAAGTCTGTAGATACATATGCAATATTTATATATTTAAATTTTTAGTGCAATAGTCTGATGAAGGATGAGTGTAAACTCTGGAAATGATAGATTGGGAATGGTAGTCCCTATTATTTAGCATTTTGTTTAGTAGATAATTAGGTGTCAGCACCAACAGAATTGCTGTGCATCATCTGCAGCATGATTCAATCTCAGACTCTAATCTTGTTCTGTTCTGTTTTAATTGTCTAGTGCTTGTTAAGCTGGAATTTCTAATGGCACTAAAAAAAAAAGAAAATGGGAGATTATTGTTGGATCTCTCTGTAAACAGAAATATCTCTCTGCTTTTCCCTTCCAGCATGAAAGACACTGATTATCAGACTGACCAAATACTCCACCCTCAGCATAACTATATTAACACATATTCAGGACACTTTTCATTGGATTGCCTATTATTTTTCTTTCTTGTAAAGCACTATATCAGTGTCCTTGGGGACTGAAGTGGAGTTAGCAGGAGCAACTCCCTTCCTCAGAACTGGAAAGGCACCCTCTAATCATCCAGAGATTAATATCACATGTCCCAGGCAATGATTTTTAAATTCACGCATGTCGCTGGCTCACAGAGAGTTTGTTCCTAATTCTCTGCTGTAGGATTTTTTTAATATGATCTGTATTGGTATTTATATCTGATCTGTCAATCTCTCAAGCTCTGACAATTAGAAGCCGGGGCTGTTAGTTTAAAGAAAACAATAAACTATTCACAGAATGAAAAACTCTACCAACCTTTGTGACCACAGATTTTCCTCCAATAGCTGAACATGCATCCTTTATGAGGTGGAGAGAGCAGGTTCAGAGCCTATTCCTGGGAGCTTAATTCTAAATGTTGGCTTACATGAAGTGCAACAACGGGGACTGGGGTAAATATCTGAGTACTGAAAGAGCCAAGCAACATATGCTGTGTATTCAGAGGTGGAAGGAAGAAGCACACAGCTTGAGTCTCCAGCCATTCACTGCTGCCTGTGTTAGTGGTTTTGCAAAGCTGATGGGCATAGGGTTTGTTAAAGAAAAATACCTGTTTCTAACCTGGCTTATTTTCACTCTATAGATAAGGGAGCAAAACCGATATGACCTAAAGACAGCAGGACCTCAGTCTCAGCTGCTTGCAGGGATTGTTGTGGATAAAAAGCCAAGTTCAGTGAGTACAACATAATTAACTAATTTACAGCTGTTCAGGTTATTTGGTTGCCTGTCTTTCAAATGTCAGCTTGGGCCATTTTCGGTCCAGATGTTTTGTTAGAACAGATTATTTTCATGCTGGTTTTGGAGGTGTGATACATCTTATTCATGTTTAATTTTAAAGGTTTAAAAAGTTACTTGCAAATTGAGACGTGCATGTTAAGCTTGCCACCATTAATATTAAGGAAGTGGGATCCTTGTCTAAGATCATATAAGTGAGAGAGGAAGAGCTTTGGAATGCATGGGGCCAAAAATAGCCTTCATTAGTGTGTGGAAGTGATGCTAAAGATAACAACTGAGTCCCAGAAGTAGCTCAGTTTAAAAGGTGGGATGTGACCATGTGGAAGACAGCTTTCATTAGAAACAGGCTTCTTGCTGGGACAGAGGGTTTCCAGTTTCTGTCCTGCTCATATTAATCTTTTCTTGAATAAAATACTTCCAAACACTATAGATATCCCTAATAAGGTTATTCAACATACTGTGTTGAATTGGAATTCTAAGAGTTTCAAGCTATCCAACAGTTAGTACATCTGTGTTTTAGTTCTGTATTCCCTGCCAAAACTTTTTCATCAAACTTTGGCCCAAAAAAAAAAAAAGACCTGAACATTTTGCTTGTTGCTTCTTATTTTTTAACTGTTAAATTCTGTGTCTTTCTCTTTCCCAGCCAGTGCAGTTTGATGATGAGCACGCGCCGCCAGCACCACCCAACCCGTTCAGCCACCTCACTGAAAAGGAACTGGAAGAGTACAAGAAAACCATTGAGCGCAAGCAGCTGGGGTTGGAAGGTCAGCAGTGTGGTTTGAATTGCTGGGGTTTACATTTTAATAATAAGCTTGAAAATATCTACTGTAAAAAATGTGTACATGTTAATTATTAGCACATACTGCTGGCAACAGCTTAGAACTAATTATTCCTTGAGGTGGTAGAATTCTTTTGTTAAATGTGGTTCATTCTTTTACTTTAGTTAGTGCTGAAATTAAAGCAATGAAAGGTTTGCAGAGAAATGAGGTTGACAGAAACACAATTAACCATAATGAATTTTTGTGTCAGAATCATAGAATAACTTAAGGTGGAAGAATCCACAAAGGTCATCTTAAGCCAACTCCTCCTCAAAGCTGATACTAAAGTTCTATCAAGTATCTCAAGTCTGTGCCCAACTGAGCAAAAGTTTACTGAGATGTTTGGCCCTGGCTTCTCTAATTTTACTTCTGTTCTCTCAGTGTGCAAGTCTCACCTACTTTCATTTTTCATATCTTCTTCCAATGCTACTATTCTATAGAGAATTACTAATTCAGAGTTGATTTTAATTTTAACAATAACACTTACTGTGAATTCTTCTCACTAATATTGTGTAATAAAACAACTTTGCTAAATGTCACACTCAGGACATGCTGTTCCAGCAGACTGTGACAAGATAAAACCATGGGGCATGCTACTTGGAATGCAACCCTGCCACCTTTTTTAATGCTTCCTAATAAAGAACTAATATATACCAATTTTTAGCAGATAAAACAAATCCATAATTCTTTAGAGTTTCAACTGTGTTTTGTAACTTAGTGCTGTTGTCAGCATGAGCAACACAAAGCTCTAGTAGCAAACCTGTAAATCTTGTAGAATCAGCACTGACACTCTTGCTTGATTTTCACTTTTGCTTGGCTACTAACTCACATCTTGTCCTGCAGATGCTGAACAGGAATTATTCTCAGATGACGGTTCATCTGTGTCACAAATTCAGTCACAAACTCAATCCCCGCAAAATGTCCCAGAAAGATTAGAAGGTATTCCATGCAATTTCTGTTTGATGCCAAGGGCTCCAACAACCCAAGTCCTCAACTCTTCTGCTGCACTTTTACACTTGCATGAAGTCAGCTGAATCAAAAGGAGCCCTCTTTTGCAAAGTTTGGGTGGTACTCTGTCCAGAAAACTATTTTTCCCATTTTTTTCTAATACAACATTCTCGCAAACAGAAAACAACTCAGGGCATGCTGAAACTTAGATATTAACCAGGTGGAGCAAATAGATATTATATTTCATTTTACTGAAAATGTTAAGAATAATTCTTTTGCCTAAGACTTTTCCGGAAGTCTAAGTAGGCATTTTAAAAGGCAATTTCTCCAATGCCTTCTGTATGGAATGACTGTGTTTTCATAAATCAGTCTCTTGCAGTAAAATGTAATTCAGACTGTGCTTGAGGCTGTGTTTGCTATGTAGACTATATTTGTACATACTCCATACAGCTTGAGCTGTGCATGCACCTGGCAAAGACAAAGTTAAATTTTTCAGCCCATTTTCCCTTAATGACATTTTGACTGTGTTGTCAGCTTACAGCAACTAAGACTGTGGATAAAAGGGAAAAAAACACATCTAAGCACTTCAGGTTTCATTCTTTGGATCACAGTGCAGACTCGCAGGCTTTGTCTCAATACTCGTTTTTTTTGCATGAAAGTGTATATAAATAATTGCAAAACCATGTGCTCTTTCAGAAAACCACGAGGATTTCTACAGCCAGAATGCCAACCTAATATCTGTGGAGATGCCGGTTGTGGTGGTGAACGGGAAGGAAGATGCGCACGACGTGGAGGAAGATCTCACCAGGAGGGTCAGTCAGTTGAGTACTGTGGAGAGCGTAGAGATTACCATTAAAGGCTCTGAAAAGATAGAAGAGGCTCTGTCCCCTGAAGGGTCACCTTCCAAATCCCCTTCAAAGAAGAAGAAGAAATTCCGCACCCCATCCTTCCTGAAAAAGAGTAAAAAGAAGGAGAAGGTAGAAGCGTAGGTGCAGTTCTGTTGTGAGGAGACATTGCACATTTTAAACCTTTAAGTTGACCATTAACAGCGTAGTGTTAGGGGTGTGCAGTAACTGGACTTTTAACCTAAACAAGTAGAAACTGGAAGAGGTTTTGCTTTAAAGAAACCAAACAAAGAGACAAACAAACAAAAAACCTTTCATGTTAATTACAAAATAATTCATCTCTCACTTAGCTGTGTCCAAAATTGCTATGAGGGTTGGAAACATTGATTAGTTTCATGTAGAACTACACTGGCAGGTGCTCAATTACCATCATAGCAATGTCAAATACCATCACAGTATGCAGCAGCAAGTTCTGCTTGGAGTATTTTGCAGACCTGAAAATTTTCAGTACAGTTAAAGTCTTTAATAAAGTTACTGTTGAGTGACCATATGACTTTATAAAACTGCTGTCTCATTTGGGAACCAGATCATACATTTTTGTATTGTGGTTTTAGACCATATATTTTATGTTTCTGTACCCCTGTTTGAGTGGGTACATATTAACAGCACACCTTTGCATCTTTTTTAAGATTAGCTCATATACAAATAATATACACTGGCACATAATACTAGGGGAAAAACTGTGTAAGAGAAAGTTTATTTGGAATTATACAAAATGTCTAAAGAATTCCATTATTCAATAACTTTTTTGCCAAATATTTCATTTTAGTGAAATATAATTTTTGAAGACTTGTTTTTTATTCTATCAGTTGGGGCGGGGGAAACCCTTATTTTTCAAGAAGGGGGATTTTATACACTTAACATTGATAATTTAGTTTAACTGACAAAACAAAAAGAAGATTTTATATGTTCAAATGTTTGTATACCATTCAGTATAAAGGTATTATAAGCATGTGAACCAAGCATTTAATAGTTAGAGTGTATTTAAGAATGCTTGGTTTAGAGTATACTTAAATAAAATTCAAGAATCCAGGGACTTCAAAATCAAAGGATAAAAGCATATAAAATTGAACTGGATTCGTGTTTAAAAATTATTTGTGGGTTGTTCTTTTCTCTTTCATGGTATTGCTAATGAATGAAGAAAAATAATCTCTTAACATAACCAAATGAAGGAAACAAAAATGTTAAAAGGGAAAGTGAAATAGGAGGGAAATAGGAGGAGACAAAGAAAGTAAAAGTTCGGTGATTATTTTTTTTAAATATATGATATGGATTGCGGAATATTTTTATTAAATCAGCAGAGTGACATTTCCATATTAGATGTTTTAAATAATTTGTATGGATTCATGCAGAGTGCAACACTTTGGGTTTTTTTCTTCAGTTTCATTCAAATTGTAAAAGGGTCTTGTGAATCTGTGTTGTCCTTTGGATGAACCCAGAGCAAATCAGAGCTTAGTGCCATGGGTAAGGGTGGTACTGCCACTTACTCATTTTTACTTGTGTGTCATTTTAGTACTTTTACTGTATTGTAAATACAAACTAAACATAGAAATTAACATAGGGGTTTCTTCACTGTGTCAAATGTCTGTAAATCAGTCATCGCAATAGGAAATACATCTTTTAAGATCCATGTGATTCCCAAATTACCGGTTGAAATATTATACAATATATAATTGTTAAATATGGCTGGAGAGTGGTTTGGCATGCAAAAATGTTGATTATAGCATGTTTGGGGGCTGGTTAGCTTTGACCGTGTAAGTGTGATAATGCAATGTTGGAATGGATCCTGGAAACAATTTTCTAGCTGTCACTAAATACTGGAATCAGTGTTTTTAATCATAGTGGAAACTTTCAGTTGCTTACTTTGTTTTTTATGTTCTACATTATTTGTGTTGTATTACAACATATGTAGAAACAGTAACCTGTGAACTACGCTTTTCATAACTTTTTTAAAAATATATCTAAATGAATGCAATGTGCATAAATATTTTTTAAAATGCAACCGTGAACTATTTGCACCTTTTGCTAATGCCTCTATTTACTTGCTTTGGCATAAAGAATGAGCCAGCCAACTCTTGTGTCCTGTGGAAAATATATAAATGTTATCTGAAATTGCTCATAGATGTAATGCTAATTAATGTTAAATCACAAATAAACAGTATTTTAAATAGATGGATTTCATATAGCAGCCTTTTGTTTATGCACTTACTTATGTTGCTTCTCAGGAATTTATTCTGGAGAGGACTTCTTGCTTGTGCTTATCCTGTGAGCTCTGCACAAAAATAACCTGATCTTGCTGTTGAAGAGCTTTTGTCTCTGTCACAGGTGCTGCAGGGGAAGGAGGGCAGGCCCGTGGTAAAAGGCCCGTGGTAAAAGGCAGGGCACTGCCAGGCAGTTGTTCTGAGCCCAGGGGTCTGTGCTTGCCCAGCCTGGACTGCCTCCTGCTCTGCAGCACCATGGCATCACTGTGACACGAGGGACTGGGGTGGTTTTAGTGCTGAGTAAGTACAGAGCAAGGAAATAAAGAAATTACCTTTTTTTGAAATTATTATTAGTAAAGGTTTTCTTACAGAAAAAGCTTAATGCAAAGTTATTTGAAGATAGCTGTGTCATGCCCTGCCAACGTATGGTGTATGTCGGAGCCTGTGAAGCTGCAGAAGTTGCAGTGTTTTGTTTTTGTAACTGTGTCAACTCTGTGAAATGTCTTTAAGGACTGCACAAATGTTTATTTTCCTTCTCCTTCCACAAATCAGCCTTTTGTTTCTGTTTACAAGAAAGTCAAAATTCAGCCCTCTGAGTCTGATGACAGTTTGATGAACTCGGTCTCCATGTGGTAGGATAATTTTGGTTTAGCACTTTAAATAAATCTTGATCAAGATTTTAGTATTTTCCTATCATTTGTCTCCAGAAGCCTCTACAGTCTTTTTAGTGCTGCACTAATGTGAAAGTAGACACTGTGTTACACACAGGAGTGTCCACTGTAAGGCCAAGGCATATATAATTTACTTATTTAGGTTCTTTCTATTCCCAAGAGTCTACAAACCACATTAGACCCTTCATTTTCACTTAAATCTTGCTCTTTCACAGTGTTACTCAAAGGATCTAAGATTCTGTAAGCCAAAGCATGGGATTAAAGTAGATGTTTGTAACAGGCATAATAAACATTAAAACTTAAATTTTGTGAAGTAGGAACCCTTGGAAAGATGAGCTTCAAAATGGATCATTAATATGATAGGAAATAATTATTGTCATTAGGCTGCTTAACCCAAGAGAGAGCAATACAGAGAAGCAGTTTTTACTGTGAGGAATTGCATGCAAGCTACCACCCAGAAACATTAAAAAGGAAAAGGATTTATAAAGCTGTATATCCAGGTAATTGCCTGTTGTTGTCTTTTACAGACTTCCAGCTGTTCTGGAGATAAGTTTACATAGCAAAGCAGATTTTGCAGAATCTGCAGAATGAGGTGTATCAGGATTTAGAAGCCACAAGGAGACAATAATGTCATGGTTAGGGGTTTAATAGGCCATTTTGACTCATATTTTCCTGCCTTGCCAGCTGAGTCCATTACACACTGTTGAGCACGTGGCATGAATTGCTGTCATCTCTGGGGCAAGTAGTTGAAGACTTTCTATTTTCTACATATCCAGTTTGCAAAACTGTTGAATTTTCACTATTTGAGCCCGTGGAAACTTCTCAAACAGGATGCACTGCAGTGTATCCAAGGACAGTGAGAAAGGACCACAGTGTCCCATGCCGTGCACATGGGTCTGGTGGAAACTTCTGATGTGAGCGCCCATGTTCTCTCTTCCTTTCTGCAGCCTGGCAGGGAAACACATCCCCTCACCCATGGGGTTGCTGTGGGGGTTGGTGTTTGTCTTTCAAAGACCCAGGGTGTTCCAGGAGGTGCAGGGCTCTGAAAGGCACTGACCAGAAGCTGGTGATGGTGGCACTTCTGGCATGTTGGCTGTCACACAGCCCCTGGGAACTGCTCTGCCAGCTTGGCCAAACTTCCACGGACTCTTGAGGGAATAGTAGAAAGCCCATCCTCAATATAAACATCACCCAGCCCTTCACCACAGTTTCTAATCTCAATTTCAAAGCCAGCAGTAATTTAGGTTTCTAACCTAAAAGATTGACAGAATGCAGTATGAAAAAACTTACATCTTTCTACAGCCTTGTCCTTTGGAAATGTTGGGGTACAATAGCTGTACATTTACACGTGCCAGCGGTACATAGAAACACCCAGGCAGTTTTCACATGGAGCAGCACACAGCTGCTCGGTCAAGTTTGATCAGCTTAAAGGCAAACAAAACAAAGCAAAGCCTGATGATGGGAACTGGAGGGCGAACAAGAGTTCACACTTGGAAATTGAGAGTCCCAAAGTCAAACAGAGCCTCTGGGAGGTGAGAATTCGAGCGGCCTTTAGGTGGCATCAGACCCTCGCGTTTGCTGCCTGTGTTCCCCGCAGTCGCAAAGCCAGCAGCAAAGCGCTTTCAAAGAGGGTATTTTTGGTGGAGATTTTGTGGGCTTTATTCCAGTTCCAGTGCAGAGAAATAAAAGCAGACATCTGGCTGCCGGACTCATTTTCTATATTGATTCATTTCAAAATCCAGCAATGGAGCAGACTTTGTCAGGGAGGCAAGACTCCTCCTCTCCCCTTCATCCTTTTGCAACAAGCTAAGAATGTTGGTGAGATTTTTTTGAACTTTTTAACTCACTCCATCGAACAGAATAATATCCGTTTGTTCAATATTTTTCTATCAACCTTACCCACAGGCCAGAGACTTCTCAGTGGTTTTGAATGGTGGGGCAGAAGTCACAGGAGACCCCAGTGGAAAACCCCTGGTGCCAAAGGTTCCCACACCCTTCTGTCTCACCTGCTTCCATGTCATAAATTCCAGGTGCATTTCCTTTCATATTTGCAGCAGTAGCTTGATAGAATTGTGTGTCTCTGGAAACTGCTATTTGTTATTTTTATGTTACTTGTAAAAACAAAACTTGTGCCCTGGGTTATCAGGATGGTGAGTAGCTGAACTCTGTAAGGAGCAACTGAAATTCTCTGGGTGGTGACGTGGTCCCGGGCATGGTCCTGACCGCTCCCAGCCCTGGCTGACATTGCCAGCTGGTGCTGGGTTTGACCTTCAGCCTGGCAGCTGCTGGCTGCTCTCTGACCTCCCAGGCACAGCACTCATCCCTCTCCTCCCAAAGGTACAGAAAGTCCAAACATCGACTGAGGTGAGGTGCTTAACTTAATTAATGGCCTGGCTTTTCTCGAAAGGGTGAGCATTTAGCCATGCCAGGGAGAGCTGCAGAAGAGCAAGTTGTTTAGCCCTCAGCTTGAGGCAGTGAGAGCCAAATAATCCCTGGACTGCAGGGAACATGTAGCCCCCAAAATCAGCATTTTGATGAACTGTGCTTGAGGACTTTGCAGGGACTGAATTTCTCAGTCTGTCAACCCAGGCCCTTCCCTCTCCTCCACTGGGATGGAAAAGGAAAGGTTGCTACAGATGGCTGAATTTCTGTGTCCAAGGTGTTGAGAGCAGCTGACTGACCCCTAATAAACCTGCCATGCTGGGGGTCCCTGAGTGTTAATGGCAGTGTGGGGGCCTGCCTGAGCTTGTCTCTTAAGCTGATGTTTGGCACAGTGGCATTAAAGCTTGGAGACACTTCAGGTCCTGCACCAAAGCTATGTGGGACAGATGTGTACCCAGACAGGTGCTGAGCTGGGGCCTCAGAGATGCTCCAGAGGACCAAAGCCACCTCATCTCCTGAGCTGTACCTTTGCTGGGTGCCAAAAAGGACCTACAGAAAACTCTGAACACACTGCAGCAGCTGCAGTTTATACTCAGTGCTTTGCCCTTGGATGTTGGACACTTTCAGCCCAAATCCTTCTTTAAGTGGATGGACAAGACAGAAGCTGGCTATTAATCCACTCAGCAGAATGGGAATATGGGACAGTAACTCCCTTTCCCAAACAGGAATTACCAATTTCTTATTCCAGTGAGTATAAGCATCCTCCCCTTTCTAAGCAGAGAGGTGCAGTGTTTTCAATACTTATTCTTTCCATCTGGCTAGACAGCTCTTTCAAACACCAATACCTATAATTACATATATTATGTATATTTGTATATACATATTACACATGCTAATTATATCTACAGAGGCATTAAAACATTTACCCTGCTTGACTTCAGTTTTATTTTAAAGTTGGCAGCATCCAACCAACATTAGGAATATGCTGTATAAATAAGTAGGGTTTATTTAGATTTATTCAACAGTGTTTACAACTAATAAGTAACCACATCCATTAAAGTCCTGATCTCCTGGCTGGCATGTCACATACATGTGATCATTCACCTTCAGCTGGAGCAGCTGGTTCTTCCTGGATTTATTTAATGGGGCTAACTTCACAAATGACCTGGAAGAGGCACATTGGGCAGAATTTGATATGCCACTGTCTGTCTAATGGAAGAATATTTGGGCACTGGAGTAGTTTTCTTATAAACAGATATTTTGGGCTGTCTTCCTCCACTTGGCTTGGTTTCTGCCTTTCCAGTTGCTTTATGGCACTAGAGATGCCCTAAATGCCTTCTCAGGGTGGGGTGAAGGCACTGTGTCAGTGTCACCTGTTCCATCCTGCCAGCACCAGGATCTCTGGGGTACCAGCTGCTCTCTGGGCTTCCTGGGCCTCTTATGGATATTTCAAGAAGTAACAGTGTCCTGTCCCTTCATTGAAAATGAGCTTTGTGCAAATGAGGGGTGGCAAGGGAGCTGGCCTCGATGATCCTTGGGGGTCTCCTCCAACTCAGGCTATTCTGTAACTTTGATGATTTTCTACACTGGGCACCTCAAGTTGGAAAGCAAAGTACACTTTGCTTTCACTTTCAGTCTCTTCCTCCAGTTTAACCCTCATGAGTGCTGGTGTGAACATGGTGACAATGCTGCACAGGGAGCAATTAGGCTGGAGAAACTTCTCCCTCTGTGAAAATGAGCTCAGCTGAGGAGTTATTTTCATTCTGTGGAGGATTCCTGTGAGCTGGTCAAAGGCTCCCTGGAGCTTCCCAACAGCACCTTCAGCCTCCCTGGACCCCACTTCAGCATGGCACAGTTCACTGACACTCACTTTGTGCAGCCAGTGCCTTTTCAGGTGGGTTTTGTGAAGCCACACACA